ACCTGGCTAGAGCTCCAAATCTCTCATTTAATGTGTGTTCGTTCTGGTAGTTCTACTGCTCTGGAAAACCCTGACATAGGAAGAAAGAATATGAAAGTAAGAATATGCCGTTAGGGAATTTCAAGTTAAAGCCAGGTGCCACTACACACTTAATAGAATGGCCCTGATCCAAAATCCTATCAGCGCCAGACACTGGTGACAATGTGTGCCAGTGGAAACTCCATTCAGTGTGTGGCGATGCAGTGAGGTACTAAAAGAGCTGGCAGTTTCTTACAGAGCTAATCATGCTTTTACCAGACTCCACTCTTTGTCCTCCATCCAAATGAGGTGAAAACATACATTGATTGAAGGCCTACCTGAGGATGCCCGTAGGGGCCTAATTTCTAACGTTCAAACCGGAAAGCCACGGCAATGTCCACTTAGTGGACAGAAGCCTACTGTGGGCCATCCAGATGGTAGACTGTTAAGTTCATCTCTGAAAAGAAGTGAGAAGAGCAGAGGCGATGGCTCGGTATGTAGCGGGCCGCCACACAAGCATGAGGACAGGAGCACCCACGTGCAAAAGCCGGGCAATGTTGACCTCTGGCCTCTACATACACACACACACACACACACACACAGAGAGAGAGAGAGAGAGAGAGAGAGAGAGAGAGAGAGAGAGGACAGACAGGCAGACACAGACGGACAGAGAGAAGAAATAAAAGAGATTGGAGAGCCTGGTAGTGGTGGCACACGCCTTTAATCCCAGCATTCGGGAGGCAGAGGCAGGCGGATCTCTGTGTTCGAGGCCAGCCTGGTCTATAGAGTTCTAAGACAGCCAGGACTGTTAACACAGAGAAACCCCGCTTGGGGGAAAAAAAAAAAACATCAAAAATGTAGAGATTTGAATCTGGACTCCCTCTTGGTTAACCGAGTCTAAGGGGAAGTTCTTGTGTTTCTTTCATTAAAGCAACACCGATGCGTTGCTGGTGACCCAGATGCGGTTAATCCTTGCAAGAAAAGGGTGTCGGATCCTCTGAATCTGGAGACAGGGATGGTTGTGAGGCACCACCAGGGTGCTAGGACCTGAACCCAGCCCCTCTGCCAGCAAAAGGCCCTCTTAACCGCCGAGCCATCACTTCAGAGCCTGGTTTGGTGTCTTCGAGACAGGTCTCACTGTATATCTTAGGCTGCTCACCAAGTGTACACCACCGTGCCTGGCTGACAGTTCACCTTTTTAAATCAAATAGTGAAGGCACTCAGCGGAGAAAGTTTGTTGTAGCTAGGACTTGAAATGTCCACCCGAGGCCCAGGTAGAAGGCTTCTTCCTCGGCCTGTGCTACCATCAGGACATATGGGGACCTTTCAGAGGTGGAGCGGAGTAGGAGGAAGTTGGGTGTCTGGAGGCTTGCCTTTGAAGGGTTTGTGGAATCCCTTCCCTTCCGCTTTCTCCCTGTTTCTCTGCCACCCTAAGATGAGCAGGTTCCTCTACCATGCACTGCCATCAAGATGCACCTCACCACTGACCCAAACAACAGGGTCGGTCAGTCAAGGACTAACGCCTACAATGCTGTGAACCCAAATAGACTCTTCCTTTGTTAAGTTAGTTGCCTCTGGTATTGTTACAGTAAAAACAGAAAACCAGCCTAAACCCCTTAGGCTCACTCTCAATACAACCGCCCCTCTTGCCAAAGCAGGCCTGTAACCAGAAGCTTAGACAGGAGGATGGCAATTTCAAGACCTGTCTGAACTATAGAGTGAGTTCCAGGACAGCCTGGGCAGTTTAGGGTGATGCTGTCTTAAAATAAGAAATTAAAAAAGAGAGCTGGAAATAGGGCTCAGTGGTTGAATGTGTCTGATGTGTGCAAGGCACTACACTCAATTCCCAATACGCAAAAAACAGGCAAACAAATACAATTAACAGCACATCAGAATTCACACACACACACACACACACACACACACACACACACACACACACACTCAATGGAGAGCAGTGCTGTGAAATGTTGTCCCCTGAACGTGACGTGGCCATCATGCTCATGAGCTCACAGCAGCTGCAGCTTTCTGCAACACATCATCAAGCCAATCAAAGTTCCAGCAGGAATGAAACTGATAAGGCTCCCGCCCTTCATGAGGAGCCGTTGGTGGCTGGTGGTTGTTGGGAGAGGGAGAGTGCATTTTCTTTGGGGATTCGGCCCCTGGTAGGTTGACCATGCTTGAACGGATGGCCTCACACCTCTGCTCATAAGGGCAACACTAATTGAGTTCAGTGGGCTGAAAAAGAGGAGGAAGATTTGAAATTGGGAGGGGACATATTGGGAGTCCAGGAGGAGTTGGAGCAGGAGTGGATATGACCAAAATCTACTACCCAGAGGTATGATATTCTCAAGGAAAAGTATTATACTGAAAACTAAATTGCAGCACTCAGGAAGGCAGAGGCAGGTGGATCGCTGTGAGTTCCAGGCCAGCCTGATCCACAAAAAATAAAATAAAATAAAATAAAACCATATAGGTAAACATAAATAAATAAAATTGCATGACTTTATTTTATCACAGTTTTAAAATGTTATATCTTAAAATTTTACATGTTACAGTTTAACTTTTTTTTTTTTTCCTGAAACAGGGTTTCTTTGTGTAACCTTGGCTATTTTGGACTGGTTTTGTAGACCAGGCTGCAGTTTAGCATTTTTTCCTTGTTCAAAACAAAAACAAAAACATATTAAAGAGCTGGGAGATGCTTTTCCTGGGTGTGAGTGCTCGCTGTGTGAGCCTGAGGATCTGAATCCGGATCTCTAGCACCCGTGTAAAAAGCTATGAGCATGCATGCCCAGAACCCCAACCCTGAACCTCAGCAGGAAGAGACAGGGGGATCACCAGGCCTTGCTCGCTGCCAGCCTAGCCCAAAAGTACACACACAACAGGTATACACGGATATATCATGGTGTTTTATACTTTAAGAAATTGGATGAAGAACTGGATTTAAAATACAATACACTAAAATGTTCCCATTTGATATAAAAGGAACGGGGCTTCTGGGTGCCTTTTTTTTTTTTTTTTTTTTTTTTTTTGGAGACAGTATTGGGTTGGGGAAGACAGTATTGGGTTGTATGGAAAAAAGCCTGACCCATAGTGAGCCACAGAGGTTGTTCACATGCCCGACGGTGACATGTGAACTCAGTGACTCTTGTTGCTGGGGTGGGGGTGGGCGGCATGACACCCAGACTGGGAGAGAGAGAACTCCCCCAGGCCTTGAACCCATCAACAGGAACGTTCCCAGCTTCCTTCATGAACTGGCCTTGAGGCTGATTGGCCAAAGTCTCATCAGTTGGGAGAAAATAGGCTACACTGGCCACCTTCCAGGGGAAGCCTTAACATACACTTTAAGTCTAGATCCAGGCCTGGAGGAAGGGCCCGTCGTTCTCTCTCTCTCTGTGTCTATCCCCCTCTCCCTATGCCCCTCCCCTCCCTCCTCTGCCATGAAAGTGGAGGCCACAGGTCAGCATCAAGGGATCTGGCTATCTGCCTCCCGGTGTTGGGATTACACTTGTGCCCAGGTTTTGGAACTCCATCTCTGACCTTCACACTGGCACAGCTAGCACTTCATCAACGGCACCATGTCCCCATTCATTCATCCTCTCATCCATCCTTCTGCTGTTCAGCTCAGGCCATTTGGGGCCTGATGCTGCACAGGGGGAGCCAGGCTCCGGTCCAGCCCCTGTCCGTGCTCCCGATATCACCACCAAGTCCTGCTGAGCCGCTTCCACCCTTGGTGCTCCCAGGAACTCTAAGGAGCGGGGCGGTGCTCAGCTAGCATATACTCAGCCCCTCCTCTGAAGACCATGCAGGGACCCCACCCACAGCCAGCCCTAGGGTAGACCATTAGCAAACGGAATGAGAGGTGTTTTGTTGTTTTTTTTTTTTTTTTTGCTTTATTAGAATATTGCATACATTGCAATAAATATTAACTTACTGAATCCTTAAACACGTCATAAATAATATGAACATCTTATAGACTTAAATAAAAGCATGCATCTGTCGTTTCCTGGGGTGCACTGGGGGAGGCTGGATCAAATATCTCAGCCATTTGATGCTTTCTGCTTGTGGGAGGGAGTGAAGTTGTGGTATACACCCAAGTATTTACTTTGCTTCTGCAGTTCAGTTACACTGAAAAAGCAAGGCATGTGGCTTTGCTATCGTTCTCATGGCAATGAGATGTCCCCTTCCCCCTCCAAAATCTAGCCACTCCAGGCACAGAGAGACGACCATGGCACGATCTGATTCCTATGGAGAACATAAGAATTAACCTTATAGAAGTCGAGAGTAGAAGTGGGGTTATCGGAGGCTGGGGAGAGCGGCCGGGAGCTGAGGGGAGCTTGACTAGGGGGTATTACATTGAAGTTAATAGGAACAGGAAGCCCTGGCATGGCATCCCTCAACAACAGGGTCATTGAGCGTCACTGTCGACCTCAAGAGGCCAGGAGAAAGGATGTCGAAGTGGCATGTGTCCTCCTGCCTCCACCTGGTTCAAGAGTTCCAAGTCATCCTCGGCTACACACTCAGTTCAAGGCCAGCCTGGACTACTTGAGACCCTATCTCAAAATAAGGGGATGAGGGCTAGGAAATGTAGCTCAGTGGGTGGCATGCACAGAGCCCTGGGTTCCATCCCCAGAATCACAGGAACTAGTCCTAATGGTGCATGTCTGTCATCTCAGCACTCAGGAGGAGGAGGGGGGAGGATCAGACGTTCAAGGTCATCCTTGGCTACATTACGAGTTCGAAGCCAGCCTGGGCCACAGGGATTTCTGTTACACACACACAAAAAGAATTTTAAATATTTTGTCATATGTAAATGATCAATGTTTGAGGAAGTAGAAAAGTTTAGCTTGACTACGTGATGTAAATATGAATGGAAACAGCACATGGCAACCCCTTCATCGGTACAATTTTGTGGGTTTTACGCATCAGTTTAAAGTTTAGCTGAAAATCTGAAGTCCTGTCTCCACTGAGCCAGCTCGGCCTCAGCCTTCCATTGTCCACTCGGTACTCATCACACCGAGGAACTCTTGCAGGTAATCCAGGAACTGCCGTGCTCTCCGTCTCTCTTCACCACACTTCTCCTGTGAAAAGAACAGACTTTCGTTGGCTCCCGGAGAAACAGCTGCAGCCAGACTCACCGGGTTCTTGGGGGAACTTACTTTTTGGCGGTCAATGTATTTCTTTATTAATGACAAGTTTTGGAATAGCGTTTCCACGGCACCCCCATGGGCAGTTTGATTCTTCAGTATGTCTAGCCCCTGAAAGATTTCCCCAATGCACAGCTGGTGCTGAAAGAGGAAGATTACAAAAAAACAAAACAAAACAAAACAACAAAAAAAAAAACGAATAGATCAAGGTAACTCGTATCAGCCAGCTCACAAAGTATACATATTTCAAAATATCATGTCATATGCAATCAATATGTGCAGTTTAAATGCACCAGTGAGTGAAACAATCAGACAATCCGAGGCATGGTAGTGCTTATCTGTAATCCCAGCATTTGGGAGGTAGAGGTAAGAGGATAAGGAGTTCAAGGTCAGCCTCTGATAAATAGAGTTTGAGGCCAGCCAGTGCTACATGAGACTGTTTAAAAAAAAAAAAAAATCAAAACCAAAGTTAGGATTGGGGCTAGAGAGATGGCTCAGTGGTTATGGTCACTGGCTGCTCTTCCAGAGGATTTGGGTTCAGTTCCCAGCACCCTTGTGGTCGCTCACAACCATCTGAGTCCTGGGATTAACCGTGAGTGACCCCACATCCAACCCAATATTTTCTTGTGGAATTTAGGTTGATGATTTTCTTCTATTTAGAAAATGACATTTTTAGCCTTCAGGGACACCAGATGTGAACATGGAACACATACACATATACAGGCAAAATACTCATACATACACTATAGAAACAAATGAAAGAATGAAAGTTATCAATACTTTCAGAAAGGTTTTAGAGTGGGCTGGCTCTGGAGCTCAGCGGTAGAGCGCTTATTTAGCCCAGGCAAGGCCCTGGGCTTGACCCTCAGCAAAAAAAAGAAGGAAAGGGAAAATAAAGAAACACACTGGGAGGAAGGAAGCCACAGACAGAACCAAAGGGAGCACAGCAGGCCGTCTCGCCCCGTGTAGAAATGTGCAAAGGGTCTCTGCTGTGAGGCTCTGTCAGGCGGAGGGCCGCAGCTGCTGCTGACCGCTCCCCTAGCTCTGCTAGCTCACAGTCACTCCTAATACTGATTGGTTGGTGGGTTTGGAGTGTCACATAGCCCAGGCTGGCCTCTAGCTCAATGTGGGGCTGACAATGACCTTGAGCCCCTGATCCTCTGCCTCCGTTTCCCTGTCACTGAGATTAGACATGCACTACCACGCCTAGTTTGTGGGTGCTAAGGAACGAACCCAGGGTTTCGTGCATATCAGGCACTCCATCCACTAGGCTGTCCCCAGTCCTCAGTGTTTATCTATCTATCTATCTATCTATCTATCTATCTATCTATCTATCTATCTATCTATTTTATTTCTTTTTAATAGGGGATCTGGCTATGCAATCCAGGCTGGCCTTGAATTCACATGTACCCTAAAGCTGGCCTCAGACTCAGGCTACCCCTGCCTCAGGCTCCCAAGTGCTTGGATTACATCCTTGGCCACTCTCTTACCCTTCATATCTATAAGCACCTACTTTGACATCCACCCACGTTAAAAAAGCTCAAAGAACATTGGTGTTACTGAAAACGAATGATTTCCTGGGTAGTTATTTGCACCAAGGCAAGAGAATCACTTGAACCCAAGAGCTTGAGACCTAGGGAGATGCCCACGCCTAAACACAACAACAGAAAGCAAGAAGTAAATGATTTATAGCTTATATATTCATGCAATCATGGCGTCGAAGCATAACTTAACTTACATTTTTATGAGTAGGAACAGGAAGCCTCACTGTCTGCAAAGGGAAGAGCATAGGGTCATTTCTAAAGCAGTTTGTCTTTTTTTTTTTTTTTCCAATACAGTGCTTGCTGGTGATAGGGTTTTCACCTGGGCATTAACACTAACACATTCATAGTTGCATTATTTATAGCAGATTTTTATATGTAAGAATGAACTGCCACAAATTATTAATGAGTTGGTTTTTTTTTTTTTTTTTTTCAAGTCTTTTTTTGAGTCAGGGTCTCACTGCGCAGCTCTGGATGGCTGGGAACTAGCTTTGTAGAACCAGGCTGGCCTTGAACTCATAGAGATGCACTTGCCTCTGCCTCCCAAATTCTGGGATTAAAAGCGTGCCCCACCACACCCATGCATTTATGCATTTTAAAGAACAGCAGAATCAGGTAAGGTAACTTGTCTGCCATCCTGGTGTCTGGGAGACAGAGGTAGGAGGCTCTCAGGGTTGCTGGGACAGCCTAGTCTCCGCAGCAAGTTTGAGGCCAGACAGGGTGGCCCAGCAAGACCCGATCTTGAAAGCAAAAGCGCAGAGAGAAAAGTTGGGCTTTACCTCATTGCTTGTCAAGAGAGCCCGGTGAGCCGACAGCTGTATCAAGGTCTCCTTCACCACAGCGCTCATGGGAATCTCCAGAGCCACGGCCCAGACCCAGGCGAGAGTTAGAATGCTCAGCTGCAGAGGCAACCTCATGGTTCTGAGCCTTCACCACTTGCCTTTCTCGGAGGAAGAGCGCAGAGCAGGGCTGCATCCCCAAGCAATTTATTCTCTCTCTTTGAGGAAATGAATAATTTCTAACAATCAGATAGAGGGCATCTAATAAAGGCAGGTAGCGAAACTCAACATTTCCAACGTCTTCAAAGAAAAGTGCTTTTTTTTCTTTGCTCTTTTTGTAATAGTAAACACCTCCACCTTTACTCCCGTTTAAAAAGCATTTTGTGTAATGAAAAATTGTTTCTACAACCTTGATCCACAGTGACACTCCGTTCAGAATTTTCTCTTTAAAATATGTGCAGATATGGCCAGGCTCTCTAGAGATGCCCACACTCGACAGTCTTGAGCGTGTGCTCCTCTTTTCATAAGCATCTTTTTTTTTTTTTATTAACCCCCTGCCTCACCCCATGCTTTAATGTGTTAAGCTTACTTCCTAATAAATAATTAAAAAAAGATACATTCAAACATATACCTCCAGGCAGAGTTATGCTAAAATTCACAATTATTGGGGACGTCTTCCTAGGTGTGGAGGGACGCACGAGCAAGTGTGGCGGGACACGCATGGTCAGCCTGGAACACACGAGACCCTGTTTCAAAGAGCCAAGGCGAAGAGGGAAAGGGGGTGTCTTTTGGGTTGAACTGACATTGGCTGCAGCCAGACCTGTCTGTGCTTCAAAAAGGGCTTGAAAACACTCTGGGGGAAGGACACTGATTAAAGTAGCCAGTCCAGCAGAGCTGAATTACAGGGTGTAGAGGTTTCTGCTCGGCATCCTGTCTGCTCTTAAAAGCCCGACTCAAGCTGGGTGAAGATAAGTAGATCAGTTGTTCATACCGTGCGGGGTAAGAAGCTCCTTCCTGTGCTGCCTTAGTGGCTTGGCCTTCACCCAGTTCTCTCCCTCGATGTTTTTAACGATCTTATTTTTTTTCACTATTTATTTATTTCTTTATTTAATGTGCGTTGGTATTTAGCCTGCATGGGTCTGGGTGTGGGTGTCCCCTGGAACTGAAGTTACAGATAGTTGTGAGCTGCCATGTGGGTGCTGGGATTTGAACCTGGGTCCATCTGGAAGAGCAGTCAGTGCTCTTAACTGCTAAGCCATCTCTCCAGCCCACTGACCCAGTTCTCAAGCAGCTTACCATGAGGGGTTCCCAGGGTGACTCCTGGCTTTCTCTCTATCCTGTCACACACAGCGGGAAGAATCAAGCCTTGCATTTCCTTTGAGGTTCCTTCTTTCTTTTCTTTCCTTTGTGGGGGTTTTATGCAGACACAGTCTGACTATGTGGCCAAAACTGCCCATGAACTTCTGATCCTTCTGCCTCAGCCTCCCAAGCACTGTGTCCCATTGCACCTTCCTCCGGTTTTGCTTTTCTCACTGTTCAACCAAAACAGTTCATTCTCACTGCCCTCTCTAATGTCAAGATGCAGAGGAACCACGCTGGAACCGAACCGAAGGCTTTCTCCCTAATGGCCAGCACTCATGGTGCTGGAAAGTGTTATGTGGGCTACGTAGGGAGAGTTGTAGCAACAGTCTTACCTATCTGTGGATCCTGCTTGCACAGGCCAACAGGCCAACAGGCCAACAGGCCAACAGGCCAAGTAAAATGTGCCATCTGCTCCACTAGTGGTAAGTCTGTTAGGGAGGCAACCAACTGAGTGAATTTGAGGCCTGCTCCACAGGAAGGAATACACAGGAAGCCTGGCCAAAAGCTCACAGCAGGGAAAGTGTTGCTGTTGTTGGTGCTAAATGAATATAACATGCCTGCCAATTTTTCTAAGTAACTATGTGTACGCTTACAAAGCAGTGCTGCCGTCAGCTTTGGTCAGGGACCCTCCTTTTTAAAGTCGCCAGTGATCATTGCGGAGACCAGTCAGTGGTCAAGGTAGTGAGAATGAGTGACTGTTGGACGATCAGCCCTCAAAGTGGAGTCTATGGTGACTATATCACCCCTCCAGTGCCAGGAAACACAGCAGGAAGGAGTGGACGGCGGAATGTGCTGAAGGAAGTGGTAGAGGCTGTGTGGAATGCTGGCCTCTGGGCATGACACGGCTGTTGTGATCACCGGGCACACGACTGGGCCCATCAACACCCTCTCACGGAAGAAGCTCATGGGCCCCGCCCCTCCGGAGCATTTGTACGCAGTTGCAGTTAATGGCTGATGGGTTCAGGGAAGAGACTTTTTCTTCTGTGATCTCACCATTGGCAAGGTGCCTGTGGTCCTGTAAACAGTCCTAAAGAACAAAACAAAGCACTGGCTGGCTGGAAAGGAAACAAAAAGAGTGTTATTTTGGAAAAGAAAGAGGATTAGCAGGAGTGGAAAGGGGATGAGAAAGGGCGTGTGAGTGGGGTGAATACGGCTGCAAAGTACATTACAGCTGATGAATGCTAATAGAAACATGGGATGAAAAAAAAAAACCAATTGGGGTGGAAGAGACAGCTCAGTAGTTAAGAGCACTGGATGCTTTTCCAGAGGCCCTGGGTTCAATTCCCACCACCCACGTGTCAGCTCACAACTGTCTGCAGGGGACTCAACACCCCCACACAGACATACAGGCAAAACACCAATGCACGTAAAATAACAATAACAATATATATATTTGAAAATTATTTATAAATAACAATATATAAATTATAAAAAACATCAATTCATGGATAGGACACACGGTGACACTACAGCTTCCACGATGAGATGTTTTCTATGCCTTTGTTGTTGTTATTGTGTGTGTGTGTGTGTGTGTGTGTGTGTGTGTGTGTTTTATCTGGAGGTTTTGCAAGGGCAAAGGGCAGATATGAGGGGACAGGAAGATGAGTGGGACAGGGGTACATGATGCAAAACTCATAAAGAGTCAATAAAAAGTTAAAAGAAACAAACGAATAAACAAAAACCAGTTCAGTCTCTGGCAAAACATGGTGTCTAACGCCTGTCTCCCTGGCATTTAGAAATTTGAAACAGAGGGATCAGGAATTGAAGGCCCATCTCAGCTACAGCATAAATTTGAGGCCAGTGTAGGCTACACACGAGAGTCTGTCTAAAAAACCCAAAGCCCAAAACACAGCAGCAATAACATTCGACCAACCCAGTCTCTGTTTGGAAAGAGGGGGAGGACTAGCGGGAAGAAGGAAGGAGATGAGACAGTGAGGAGTGAATGTGACCAAAGGACGTTATAAACAGGTGTGGAAACACCACAAGGAAACCCCTTGTTTTATAAAGTTAACATACACCGATGAAACAGAGGAAAAACCGACTCAGTGAGTAGGGTTATGTGTTCACCGCCGAGGTCCTGTGGCTAAGCCGATGGGATGCTCTTCCTGAGCTAGAAGCGAACAGCACCCTGTCCAAAACACACAGCAGAGGCATGCAGGATCCGTGTTGGTTGTAAGAGGGGTGTAGATGCTGGGAAAGAAACACATCACAGACAGGTGATGTGGGGACAGCCTCTCCTGGATGTGCCCCAGGCTGAGAGGGCCTTTTCTCTCCAGGGTTGGCTGTGCATGAATGTATGTCCTTGGGCTCAGATCGGTGATCTCAGAACCAAACACAAATCGTTACCCCGAATCTTTTTCCAGAGATTGTGTGTATAGTTCTGCATGAGTGGCAGAGACCACTGGAAGGCCGACATACCTTTACCAGGAAGCCACCTGTGCTAAGCATGTGTATTTTGTGCATTTTCATGTTTGTATTTAGGTTTGGGCTCTTGGCTAGACACGTCTGAGTTGAACACTCTCAGTATTGTGGGAGACATACTGGCTCAAATGCCTGTAGGCTCACATCACTGAAACCGTTAGCAGTCAAGTAGGAACCACAATGGGCCTGACATGATGCTTTCAAACCCCACGCTTAGCTCTGGCAGGGTCTGGCTCACCCCAGAGGTTATGAGACAGTAATTCTATTTCCTTTCTGATGTCTTCTGGCTACACTGAGAAAGTGTGGGCTTAGCCGAAGGCTTCGGGGGAATTGCCAGATAATTTTAGTAACTCCAGCAAGGTTTCGGAGTGATTCAACACCACGACAGAGCCGCACCGGCCATGGAGGGAGGAGCAGATTGAAAGTCCTCATGCCAGCCTTCACTGAGCAGGGAAAATGCAGCAGCTCCTCACCATTTTTAGGGAAGTAATACAGGCTGGCTGTGAGAAGGATGAAGTGGGAGAGGCCATATTTACAAAATGAAGGTGGTGAGGCCTACAGTACAGTACAGCACGGATCATCCGCCTGAAAGTGGTCACTCAACTCCACCGCAGCTATTACCGCATGACTTCTATGGGCTCACGCTTTTTTTTGTTTTGTTTTGTTTTTCGTTTTTGGATATAGGATCTTACATATGCTAAGCTGGCTTTCAATTTACTATGTAGCTGAGGATGATCTTTACCCTGACCCAGTTTAAAGAAAGGAGCCTGAAATCTCATTTCTATACATATGCCGATTCCCTCCTTAGAAAAACTATTTTCCTGTTCAAATTTGTACTTTTTATTTGTTTGTTTGAGACAGTGTCTCACGAAGCCCAGACTGGTTTTGAACTTACTATGTACTCCTTGGATTCCTGATCCCCCTGCCTCAGCCTGCCAAGTGCTTAAATGACAGATGTGTGCTGCCTGGTGTGTTCAACATTGTATTTCTTTAAATTCTGTGAAATTGTAGAGAAATACACTGTAACATGAAATGTCTCATCTCAGCTTTTAGGTGTTGGGTCTAGTAGCATCACATTAAAAAAAAAAAAAAATCAGAAATCGCTCCCAGCCCTGCCAGCCAGGCCTCTGCTTTCTGAACGGGTGAGTTTCACTACAGTGGATCATACACTGCTGTCTTTTGTGACTGGTTTATTGCATTTGCAATAATGTCGTTCTTCATCGGTGTTCTAGCATGTGTGAGAATTTTCTTCCCTGCTGAATAAAGCTGTGTCTTATGTACAGATCCTGTTTGGTTTGTCCATTTTTCTGTTGATGAATGCTTAGGGTTTTTTTCCCTCCTCTTTAAACTGCTCT